TGCTTAGAGACTCTAAAACTTTTAAAGCAAGAAAATGCATTCCAGACAATGTCGTCAAAAATAGTTAAATAAGAATGTGCTCCAGCCCTGGCCAGTTCGGCTTAGCAGTTAGAGCATCAGCCTGCAGACCAAAGAGTCGTGGGTTTGATTCCTGGTCAAGGGCACGAACCTGAGTTGCAGGTTCCATCCCTGGTCCAGTCCAGGTCATGCAGGAGGCAGCCAATTGATGTGTCTCTCTCACAGGATGTTTCTCTCCCGTCCTCCCTCCCTCCTTCCCTTCCACTCTCTCTCAAAATCAATGGGAAAAGATCCTCAGCTGAGGATTAACAAAAAAATAAAAAGAATGTGCTTCAAATACCATAAATGTATTTGATATTTAATAACTAAAAACAGTTTAGGAATCACCTGCATTTTAAATATTTAATTTTAAAATATATGAATTTGATTTGGTGTAGAAAATGTTTAATTTTCAAAAACAATATAAAAGTAACAGCACCATTAAATTTATGATGGGCCAAATTCTTCAGCAAAGTACACAGGAATAAGAAGAGGCAATTTGCTGCATATACGTAATCACAATAGTAGAGTACAAAAGTTTCCCCCAAAATTCTAAAGGATAGATTCTTATTAATAAATTTGCTTTTGCCTTCTCTCCGGAAACACATCTTTGTTTTCTCAACAACTGATCTGAATGCAAGCTTGTATCTAGAGTATTTGAATAAACACTCGAGAGCCTCCAGGTTTATGCAGGTGTGGAGTCTTTAAATAGACACAATGCACAGGGGAAATACTGTCTGGGCACAGGACAACTGGTAACATTTCCCACTCTCTCACCGCCCTCCAAAACAAAGGAGGGGCGGGAAGGCCAGGGAACTTAGAGAATTCTCAAAAACACAAAGAATATTCCAGGTGATAGTTTAAAAAATTTGTACTAGGTTCCATTACTTAGTTAACATTTATTTTCATTTACTTTAGGTGCTGTGTCAAATGTCGGTATTTGCTTTTCTGTACCACGTTTCAGACACAGGCCACTACCACCCCTGTTTTCTCACCAGCAGAGAAGGGGTTGCGTTGCCATCTCTTCCAAAACTCCTCTCCTGCATTCTAAGAAAGCGGCACCTTCCTGAAGGCTGCGGTCTTCCTGAGCCTTCGTTTTCCTCAATCTCTCAGGCATTTCATTTACTCAAGTATTTATTGAGCGCCTACCAGGTGCCAAATACTTGACACCACTGCTTATTTCTCTTTCTCTACACTCTCTCTTTCTTTCATTTCTCTGAGGCTACCCTGACCCTCTCGCCCCCCTCCCCACTACTCTGTCTTCTGCTCCCCCCCCCCCCCCCCCCCCCGAGAACCAGACTGTAGCTTTTCCCTGATGCTCAGTGCTTGGATTTCTAGTCTTTTTTTTTTTTGCTACAGAGTCTTTCTGGGAGACATCATTTTCATAGCTTTAATTACCATAATTTTAATAATGCTTCTTAGATGTGCAGTTATAATCCTTGTCAAAGTTTCTGTCCTATATATGATATTTAATTTGATTAAGCCACCACAATTACACTAGTTTTTTGCCTCTGCTTTTGCCATTTGTGATGTCTAAATATCTTCCTTCCCCCTAATCCATCTACATCCTTCTAAATCCAACCAAAGTCCTTCCCTTCCCACAAAATGTTCAAGGATCCAAAGTGCACTCTTCTTCTCCCCTACTTTCACATGTGAATGTTTTATTTCTCTCACTAAAATAGAATCTCTTTGAGGACATCTGTTACATGATCTAAACTTACTTGCATCCCTGTGGCACGCACTGAGGCAGCGCCAACTGCTCTGTAAGCCGGATCGTTTCATGACAAAACTTCAGACATGTTGATCTGATTATTTGCCATCTTCTGAACCTTATCCCTCTGTTGATTACTATGTGGTTATTTGTTAAACTTATTTAGAAAAGGTGTATTTCCCCTAGGCTTTTTGGCATACACATAAAGCATAAATAGATCATTCAAATTGATATCATCAATTAAAAAGCCCTTCAGAAAAAGTGAAGCCCAGATTCTCGGCAAAACCACGAAGGATTCAGCCCGGACCTCTTTAGCTTCCACTTCCTCCTTTTCAGACCTTAGTGTACACCTGCCATCAACCAGTCAGATGTCCCCCTTTTTGCACAGCCAGGGATGCCCATGTTAGAGTTGGCCCCTACCTCCACAGGAACTTTCTAAGGTCCTCACTCTTATGTATACCTGTGGTTTTCATCAGAATCACCCAAAGGGCTCATTAAGACAGATTTCTGGAGCCCCACCCCTAAAGTTTCTGCTCCAGTACATCTGGAGGATGGCCTGAGGATCTGCATGTCTCAGTTTCTAGCTGATGCTGTTGCTGGTCTGGAGAGCACTTCGAGGATCACTGATGTGTATCCTCACTTTGACTTGTCTATATGGCTTTAGCCCCTGCCCTGTTCTGACATGGAGTACTGGAGTCACTCACCTAGACCAGGCTGCTTCCAGGGGCACTAGAGGTGTCTTCGTCACTGAGCATACCAGCCAACCACCACCCCTTTCCCTTTCTTTATGCTAGTCTCAGAAGTTGAGAACCAATTTGTACCCTTGACCCCAATTTCTTTTTTTCAACTTTTATTAATTTATTTTTGTTACAGATGTTTCTCCTCCCCCACCCCACCCCAGACACCCTCCTTGACCCCACTTTTTTTGCTTCCTTTTCAAAACATCTTTCCATTGTCCAGCTGGTGTGGCTCAGTGGTTGAGCATCAACCCATGCACCAAGAGGTCGTCAGTTTGATTCCCAGTCATGACACAGGCCCAGCTTGTGGGCCCAACCCCCACTGGGAAGCATGCAGGAGGCAGCCAGTCGATGTTCTATCTCATCGATGTTTCTATCTCTCTCTCCCTCTCACTTCCTCTTTCTCTAAAAATCAATAAAAGGAAAAAAAATCAAAACATCCTTCTTCTGTCCTGTTTAAATGTCCTCAAATCTCTGCCACCCATAAATACATAAGTGGATATGAAACATAAGCAAAAGTCTCCCTGACCCTGTAGTTCTCTCTAGTTACCATCCGCTCTCTTGCTTCCCTTTCTCATTCAAACTTCAAGAAGCCATCTTCCTCCATGTCTCCACCTCTTCCCTTGACGTTACTATCTGTAAGGGGGAAAATATTAGAAGATGAGACTAGAGGTATCAGGGAACAAGGTTCTTGCTACCCTACACTCCCCAACTTACCACTGATAAAGTCTAAAGCCAACCATTGAACCAAAAGCAATAAACACTCTGCTGTCTTTATCTTCCTGGGTCATTCTGCTGCATCTCAAAATTTCTCCTTCTTTCTTAACACCCCCCCACCCCCACACACACCCCGAATTCTGTGATATCTTACTCCTCTGGTTATTCCTGGTTATTCTCCAACCATTTCTTCTTCATTTCTTCAACTTTTCAAATGAGGATGTTCGCCAGATTTCCATCTTTAATCATTTGGTCCAAACCTCCCAAACAGTGACTCAGGAATCGTGTTATAAGAGTTCCCAGGATATTGATCCTCTCAGCCCTTGGGGATGGCCTGGCTTGTTTATTCCAATGTGCCAGGAACATCCTGTTTCTGTGTGTCATCATGTGACTCTACCTTCAAACACTCCCCAAGACATTTCATCTTCTTTTCTGATTTTATTACTGTCAGCATCATGATGGCACTGGACCTTATGTACCCAGACCAACCCCATGGTGGAAACTTGAGAATCACCCTTTGATCTTCCTGCTTCTTTCCTTCCCACATACAAATAATTTCCAAATCTGTCTACTCCTTATCCTCCTATCTACCACTGCTCAGACCCCATTACCTCTTGCCTGAATTATATAGAATTCTCCTGCCTCAATTTCCTGTGGTTATGGGATTCTTAAATCCACCCTCACACAGCTGCCAGAAAAGTTGATCTAAAACGCAAATCTAATCACAATACACCCATACTTAATGTCCTGCAAAGCTCGGTGTAGACAGGATGTAGCCCAAACTTCTTCACATACAAGAAACTTCATGACTGAGCCCGGCTCACTCGTTTTCCCCACATGGCTTTCCATGCTCGCCACCAGGCCATCGTCCTGCTGTCCTCTGTGCTGTGCCCATTTTGCCATCACCACACACCCGGGACCTCAGGTGTCGCCTTGCCTTCCCCACACCCTTCCACCTCAGAGGGAGTGACACAGCCTGTGTTTTTCTGAATGTCCTGTGCACAACTCAGTCTGGATCCTAGCTCCTAAGTCTGCTTATTAGTAGCTATAAAACATTGACAAGTAACTTAGCCCCAGGCCTCAGCTTCTTCAACTGTAAAATGGGTCAAATAAAATAATACATGTACATTGTCCAGCACTATGATATATTCAATAAGTACATGTGGTAAGTGCTCAATAAAAATTTAAGTGAATGAATGACACTTCCCTTATCCTTGACCTAGTTTCAAAGCAGAGACTCTTCATGTTGAATCACTGTATTTTCAAAAATAAAAAATACATAAATTGGTACAGTAAACAAAAACAAATGACTTTCTCTTTAAGAGCATAATTTTCTTAAAACATTCCAGTTGACTTGCCCACCTGCTCAGGCAGAGATGTGAGGCAGCAGGAACTGTCACTCTGTAGCCTGAGTCATGCAGAGGTTGCATCAGGTAGTAAAAACATTATTTCCAGCTGCATCCAATCCCTGATTTTGAGATTAAAGCATACATTTTAAATCTTCCTTGAGTAAATATTGACAAATCAGAGTTCAAAAAAGACACTTTGAAGAGTTGTGTAGAAGATAGAATAGTGTTTCTTTCACTTAATGAGCTTGGATGAGTTTCCATTAAGAACCAGGAGATAGGACTAAATGACCTCTATTGAAGCCACTGCTAATTCAACTCAATCATTCTAACGAGGAAATAGCATCACAATCATCAGCTCTGAATATATCCCTCCAGGAGTTAATCTAATTACTCCATTCACATTTGATTGTTACTATTCATCTGCTTAAGTCCCAGGAGACTACAGCAAACGAGTGTATCAAGGTGTGAGAGTGAAGCACACAGTCAAAGATCTGCTGGCAGAAAAGCGATCCCGGCAGACAACTAGCTCAAGATTTAACGTAAGTCTCCTTTTAATGCACTCTGATGTCTTTGGCGGGGGGGGGGGTCTTCTGTTAAAGTTAGTTATCTCCCCTCTCCCTTTACTTACACACCAATCTCTCACATCTTGAGTCTGATATTCTGAATAGCAAAGCCTTCCTTCTGCTGGCACTTTCTGTATAAGTGCTATTATCAACACTACGGCACACCTGTCAAGCTACACAAGTATTCGCAGAGCTCTGCGAACTCATTGGCTGACTACTGCAGTCAGTGGCCATAGAAGAAAGTGCTCCGAGTTTCATTTCCCCCAGTCATGAATTAACAAACACTTAGTTGGTGAAAATAACACTGACCGTCATCACATGTTATTCTAAGCTTGATAGAGACAACGTAGAAGAATCTTCTTCATAACATGCAAAGTCAGAGTTTAAAATCCTAATAGGACTCGGCCATAAGAAAAGATAAAATACTGCCATTTGCAACAACATAGATGGATCTTGAGAAGATCATATTAATTGAAATAAGTCAAACAGAAAAAGCCAAGACCTATATGATTTCACTCATATGTGGGATATAAAACTGAAAGCAACAAATGAACAAACAAGACAAACAAAAACTCACAGACACAAACAACAGTATGGTGATTACCAGAGAGGAAAGGGCATGGGAGGGTAGCAAAGGGTAGAAGGGGGTCAAATATATGGTGATGGAAAGAAATTTGATGTTGGATGGTAAATACACAATGCAATATATCAAGGATGTATTATAGAATTCTATACCTGAAACCTATATACATTTATTAACCAATGTCACCTTAATACATTTAATAAGAAATTTAAAAACAAAATACATCCTGGTAGGAGATGTCTTAATTCTAACACCCTTATCTGCCATTGATGTCGCCATACTTAGCTCCACTCTGTGCCTAAAGTGTTTAAACAATTCAATTCTCCAAAACTTGATTCCAGGATGGAAATAGCATTTGGCTATCAAGATGGTATATAATCATTAATCTACTAAATAAAATACAACAACATGAATGTCAGGCATCACTGGATGCAGGGCATGAGGGCAGATGATCAGGAACGACTAGAGCATCCATGGGCAGCACCTGGTGCTGGGCTGGTGCAGTGGGCACTGGCCTCCCAGTGTCTGCTCGGGACATTGGCACCACGCTCATCACTGCTCCACCACCACATGTTTTAGATGAACAACCCCAGCCTCCATGTTCTCCCACCCAAAAACATCTTTGGCTGCACACTTTCTGCCTCCTTTCCTTTTAAACCACCTCTTCTTTTCTGGTTCAACAAATGGAGCTTAGCCGACAAAGAAAAATCTGAATAATCGGCTTCTTATCTGCTCCCAGTGCCATGTTTCTCATAGCACCTGCTCAGAATGGTCTGGGTGTGCATTAAAAATACCCATACTGATCTAGTTGAGACAGAGAGAGTATTCAGAGTCTGCTCCAAATAAACCACAGTTTCATGGAAGTACTGTGAATTGCTTGGCCACAACCATAGCTAAAACTGGGCAGCTTGATGCAAGTTTGGGCAAACTGACAGTTGGAAAGACAAGGGTCACAGTGAGGGTAACACCATAATCAAGGAGCAGATATTGTTTTTCCCCAGTGTGAGTGAGGATGTAAGTTATTCCTTGGCATTGTCACCAATACCTATATGCAAATGATAAGGCCCTATACCTGACGGAGTTATAGAAAAAGACCAAATGGTAGATATAAATATTTTTCTTTAAAAAATTTTCTAACATGACTTCTTGTTCACGATCTGTGACTATAAATAGTGTTTTTTCTTTATTTGTTGATATTTCTACTTTTTAAGAAATATAACAATATAAATATAACATAATTAATAATAAGGCATATTATTTTATTAAAATGCAGCTTCCTGGTTCTTTTCCCATGTCTAACAGAGTTATTGAGCTGGAGCCAAGGGATGGTCATTGCTCACCAGCTGCTTGGGTGATTCTTTACACATCATGCTCTGAGAACTTTACCATCAAGGAAAGAACAAGCTTCCAAGCCTCACACATCTCAGCCACAGTTCTTATCTTTACCTACATAAGAACTTGTTGAGCTATTGCCATTGGCCCAGTGATATTGAAAGTTTTTCCGTGAGCCATTGTGGTTCAGTTGATTGAGCATCATCCTGTGCACCAAAAGGTCACCAGTTTTACTCCCAGTCAGGCCACATGCCTAGGTTTTGGGTTCAATCCCTGGTCAGGGTGTGTGAGGGAGGCAGCCAATTAGAGTTTCTCTGTCACATCGATGTTTCTCTCTCTCACTCTCCCCCTCTTTCTCTTTCTCTCTCTAAAATCAGTAAAAACATTTTTTTAAAACAGTTTTATAGTGAACGTGGCTATAAGAAATGCATAATACATAGTCTGTGCCATCAAACACCAACTAACCTGGTGGAAAGGAATACTTATCCATTTAAAAAATACAAGACCATGTAACCCAGCAGTGGCCTGAATGCTGAAGACACAGGACCAGGCAGCTTGGCCCAGTCTGCACAGACTGCAATACTGACTGCATCAGGGCAGGTTAAAGTGTACCTCCTACGTGTTACATCATTTGATAGACCCTCTAAATCTGTGAGCTTGTGATGTACACATTTTCTATTTTACAGATTAAAAGGTTAAGAACAAGAGAAGGGAATTGATTGTTTTCAAGCTACACTCAGCAAGTGGCAAGATTTCTGAGTCCTAATTCCATATTCCCTTTATTTATTTATTTATTTTATCCTGACCTGAGGACATTTTTGCATTAATCCTCAGATAGAGTGAGAGGGAGAGGGGGAGAAGAGAGAGAAACATCAATGTGAGAGAGACACATTGACTAGCTGCCACCCACAGCACTCCAACCAGGGCCGGAAACAAACTGCAACCGGGGTCGGTGCCTTTAGCGGGAACCGAATCTGGGACTCTCCGGTCTGGAGGCCGACGCTCCAGCCGCTGAGCCAGACCGGCCAGGGCCCAAATTCCCTTTAAAGGGGAAGATAATGTGGACCAGAGTAGAAAAGCCTCTGATTCATGCGATCTTTGTCTATTTGAGCTGCTATAACCAAATACCACAAACTGAGTAGCTCAAACAGCAAACATCTCTCACAGTTTGGAGGCTGAAAGTCTAAGATCAGGGTGCCAGCATGGCCTTGTTCTGGTGAGGCCCTCTTCCCGCTTGTAGATTCTCACTGTACCCTCACATGGGACCAGGGAGCTCTCGGAGTGTCCTTTATAAAGGCACTGCTCCCATTCAAGAGGGCTCTGCTTTCATAACCTAATCACCCCCAAAAGGTCCCACCTCCTAATACCATCTCAATGGACATTAGGATTTCAACATACGAATTTGGGAAGGACCGAAACATTAAGACCATAGCACGTGTATGCAAGCAAAGGAAATAAAACATAAGAAAGTGAACTATGTAGAAAGAACTAGAACTAGAAAAGTGCAAACCAGCTCTAACTGTGTATGCACTTATTCTTAGGCATCGAGTGTGGGGTAGCATGAGCTCAACCTTAACCTGGTTTATATACGTTCCCTGACGTCTCCATGCTGGTATCTTACCCTTATTCTTACTTCAATGACCTTTTAAACTTCGATAATTAAGTGCATATATACTTGGCATGTGGTTATTTGGATGTCAGGAATCTTCATGAAGTGACTTACTGTTTATCTGCTCATGTTTTGTCTTCCCAACCACTATTCTAGAGTATCTGTATATCCCAAGAAGGATATTGTATTTATTAATCATCCACTCTTTTATTTTATTTTTCTTTATTGATTTGAGAGAGAGAAAGGGAGAGGGAAAAAGGATAGAAGCATCGATGAGACAGAACATTGATTGGCTGCCTCCTGCATGCCCCCCACTGGGGATTGGGCCCACAACCTGGGCATGTGCTCTGACAGGGAATCAAACCATTGACCTCTTGGTGCATGGGTCAATGCTCAACCACTGGGCCACACCGGCTGGGCAATCCACTCATGATGAACTATTTCTGTCCCTGTTGCAAATGAAACCCAAGATCTGGGATCATAGAGAATCACATTACTGGCTGGCAGTTTGGGGCTCTAATTGCATGGGTAATACTAAAACTACCTCCTGTTTTTCATACCAGTGCACTAGGTGACAATGAGTTGGATATCTTGGATCATTTCAGATAGGAAAAACATCCTTAGAAATGTTCAAAATTTGTTACTGACAAGACAGATTATAACCAGTCAAAGGTTAACTTGAAAAGATGGGAGGTCCTACTATGCAGTTTCACCATATATATTGTGCTAGGCCAGTAAATGGACCCCAAAATATTATGTCAAATCTCTGGAACCTGTGAATGTTGTCTTATGTAGCAAAATAAGTGATTAAGTTAAAGATCTTAAAAGGGGACACCCTGGTTTATGGGTGGTCCCTAAAAGCAATCACTTGGATCCTTGTAAGAATGAGCTTGAGAGACACATACAGAGGAGGAGACACACAAAAGAGACGAGGGATGTGATGACTGAGACAGAGGCTGGAGTTTCACAGCTACAAGTCAAGGAATGCGGGGGCAGCCATCAAAATCTGAAAGAGGCCAAGAATGAGTTCCCCCTAGAGTCCTATAAGGAACACCTTGATTTGGACTTCTGGCCTCCAGAACTGTGAAAGAATAAATTTCAGTCTCTTTAAATGACTCCGTTTGTGGTCATTATTTTTACTAGCACCCCTAGGAAGCTGATACGCATATATCATGGAAACGGTGTCCCCCTGAGTAAGTACCCTTTAGGAAGCTCCTAGTTAATGTCCAAACTGCTGCTCTTCTCTTTGCAGCAACACTTGGGTAAGTCTGCAGGTTGTGTAGATCCATCTTTGCCACAATTTCCCTTAGCGCATCTGTTTGTGATACCATGAAATGTTTTTCACATCTTTGTAGGAGGGATCCAAAGGGGGAAAGAATCCCTCCGATCAAAACAGGGCTTTCACCAAAGACTGTACCTACAAGCACTTCTGTACATTGTAGCCATGGTCCT